GTTGATTTCCAAAGAATTCTCTCTCCTCCACGTGGGTGTTCCTGACATCAAATACATATTGTTGCAGTAAAAAAAAAAAAAAAACACACAAAAAACAAAAAACCACCAACCTAAATCAGGCACGGCACTTCAACTATGAGCAAATTACAGTAGACTACCTTATTTTATGCAAATGTTCTACATGGAGACATCCCTTAGTAACAATAGCTTTGTTAGTTTACTTAACCAGCTACCCTGAAAAATTAAGATCCATAATTAAGAAAAATAAGTTTAGTACACTTAAGTTCAATTTGTCCAAACTGATAGGTCTTCTCTGTACTGCAAGATTTTAGAAGGAAAAAAATATCATTAAAAAGTTTGCAAACTACACTATCTTAAATCTTTTCTATAAAGTATAAAGAGCATAAAGAATTGAGAATCGCCACATTTTCAGACTATCCAAATGAGAGTTCATCATGTTTGATAACACAGAATACAATCTATTTCCTCTCACTATGAGATGGCTACAGCCAAGAACTTTTGTCTTTCATGTCCTTCAGCATACATTCATTTCTGCACACAGATACTTGTGTTAACAAGCTAATAGTGGTTCCTTAAATAATTATTTTCTCTCTGATCATACCATACTGAGACATATGATATTTTTAATTATATCACAGTTAACAGAAGTAAAACAAAAATTTCAATTTCTAAAAGTTTTAGATTATTCCACATAGCCCTTTGGATGTAGGCAAAAATAAGATGTCTGGGAGATTATATCTGCCTACTCTATCTGTATTTTATCATCCCTTTCAAATGACATTTAATTCTGTTCCTCTATCAAAAACTGTCTTGTATTTTGACTGTCAAAAAAAAAAAAAAGCATTTGCTTAGTAGGCTCCATCCTCCAAGTCAGAGCTACAGCTACAAATAAATTAATCTTTTCAGAATACTTCAGCAGATGGTTCCCCATCCTTTGAAGGATGCATGTAACTGAATCTGATCGCTTGTAAAAGCAAGAATTAACATCACTGAACGGGGTGGGAGAGCAAGGGCAGGTTTTTCCTTAAACAGCTCTACCGATAAACTAATCATGACCTCCAACTTCCATCCTAGAGTCCAGAACTCAGCTCTTCAGCACAGCTACCAGTCTCCTAAATTACAGGTCATTCATATGGGCAAACGTAATCCAGGAAAAAGCAAAAGGCTGTTTACTATTTTTTAATCTTGTCAAACCAAATACATACATGTCACTCAAAGGCAAAATCTAGTACATTGATTAATTACTCTACTAATCCAAGAGGGAAATTGGTAGAGATGCAGTCATTAAAAAAAAAAAAAAAGCCACAACTACACACAGCTATGTGGTTTATGGCCAGCTTACTCTCACCAGCTGCGATATCTGTTACACACCTTTCAGCTCTGTAACTCACCACTACACAGGCACAAACCCAAGTCATCCCGTATTGCCCACTTCTTCTCCCAAGAATCTAAAAGGATGAACATGAACAAAAATAAGAACAGAAAAACAAACCACAACAAGAAAAACACAACACTGAAGAAAAGGTGAGGCACAAAGCACAACTGCAACCACACTGTGTACTAAAAACAGACAAATCAGGGTAGTTACAAAAAGCTTGAGTCTGAAACGCCTTAAGAAGAGTTAAAGATATCAATACAGCTGTTGCAAGGAAGAGGTTTCAAACAAAACCAGTACCATTCTTAACTAAATTCTGTCCATCAGCAGGAGATCTAAATGCCAAATGAAATGATAAACTTTTGAAACAATTAAGTCTCAGAAGTTTTATTTCAAATTATGATGTTGTTGTTAAATTCAGACTATTTGAAGACACCACCACAAAAGGTGGGGGGGGGGGGGGGAGAAAGGGAAAAAAAGGAAAAGAAAAAAGGAAGATGATGATTGATGTTGTATTGCAAGCTAATGGCATCAACAACAGTCAACAGTTTGGTCTACCCATAAAGGAAAGGAAGCACTCCCACCTCACCCTCTCTTACCAGACACGGGGAGTAGGACTCACTAGTCCTCGAAGGACACATTCCTCTTCCCCCCAAAAATCCACAACAGAACCAACACAAACAGGAGGGGCGGGAGAGGAGGAAAATAAAAATCCTATAGTATTCCAAAGAGGCCTCAGATAACCCAGTGACAAGCATGAGGAGAATCAACAGGATTAACAGTCACAAGTCTGATTTGACTAGACTGGTCCCCCCACCCCCAAAACACCAGTGCTATCTGGCCATCCAGCAAACAAGCAGGCTTATAAAGCCATCCTCACTGCCTCAGTTTATCAACCAGCTGCAAGAAAAACTGCTTAAACAAGCATTTTTGGCTACTGAAATGGGAAGTGATAGAAATTGCTATGCAAGTCCATAGTGACTGACCCTAACTCAGGCTTCGTTAACTCATATTTGTCTCTGGCCCGCTCACAGTCTATAACCTCCTTCCTCCTCATCTATCACTTTTGACTAACAACGCTGCAAGTCCCCAATGCATCCCATCTCATTCTGCATGCACAATCCTACAACCTCTTTAGATCACTGATGCCAAAGCACCATGGAGCGCCCCAGATGTGACCACATCGGCATCTTTCTTTTGCCCACTTGAAAACACCACACAACACAATGGGTAACCATCTGAGGATCTTTAATGTAAGTGATAACTGTCAACAGCATAAGGTATACATCACTGGTTTGCAATGATACTCATAATTACGGGCTACATTTTACTAAGTGAAACTAGAAAGAAAAAGCTAGCACAGTACCTTCAAAATATAAACAGTGATATCTAAGCTTTTGACTACAGGTTGTGTTTAAGCTTGAAAAGACCAAGATCACCATAATCTGCACACTGCATAGTGGACATTCGCATCCTAGGTTTTTATCTTCACCTAACAATCACAAGTTTTCAGAAGCTTTATTTTAAGTTACTGTGGGCCTACAAGGATGACAAAAATGTAAGCAGCCTTTTTAAAAATCCTTATCTCCTAGCCTACGACCAGTCTCTTGACCATACAGCAAAATTCATTTCTAGGATAAATTCAATGGCTTGGCTTGAACTCTACTAAACATGTCATCTCATAAAAAAGACAAAATTCAATAAGCCAAACAAGACAGTACTAATAGCACAAGCCTACATAGAGCTTACCTGCTGTCAGTCTCAATGAAAGAGCTGTGCCTTAAATCTTTTCGAAACGTAAGTGTTCTTCCCCCTCCCCCCAAAAGCCTTAAAAAAAAAAAAAAAAAAAGGTAATACAAAAACCAAAAGTAAACTGGCAACATGGTTAGTATCAGTGTCAACAGCATGGAACCTCCTTTACAAAAAAGTCATGTTGCCATACACACCAGCTCTTGCAGCTGAAAGGGTGTTTTTGTTTCATCTGCAAGTGTATAGTGATCCAGTTTGCATGTCATATTACACCACGCAAGAAGCGGCAGTCGCTAAGAGTTCCAACAAATGAAGTTTCACCAAGACGGATGAGCCTCCCTTCCTATGCTATAGGGCAACCATTATTTTAAACACACGGGATGAGCAACAATCACGTGTAGCTGTATATGAAACAATGGCTAACATGCTATAATCTGGTTATGAAAGCACAGGCTGCAAGTGTACTATGTCAGCAAAGCTGACTCGTCTACATTTAGGCTGTGACTTGGTTATAAACAAGTACAGTGAAAACCTTGCCATATATATGAGCCTTTTAATAAAAAAAGGTTATGGCCCACAGGGACGAGAGATTCCAAGATACGGAACAAGACTCTAGGTTGTTAAAACAGACCACATTTCCTTACTAAGGAGAGGGCCAAACTCCGATTGTAGTAAAGGTACATAAGCTGCAGTTTGCCCTCCCCTGCAGAGAGTTACATGATCCCTACAAGATCTCCCTTACAAATACCCACCTCCCCCCCCCCCCCAAAAAAAAAAATAAATAAATAAATAAATCACAAAGGGCCACTGCACAGAAAAATCCACATCACACCACCTAGGAAAAGTTGCAGAGAAGAGGGAAGTCTCTGTCCGTTAACTTGTATTATTTTATTCAGAAAATGTTTTTCCAAAGGAGGGGAAAGGGGTAGGAGGTTGGGATTTTCCGTGTTCAGTAACTAGGAGCAACAAACTTCCCCCCGCCTTGTCCCTCCCCTGCAACTGCTAGCTTCACACATCTGCATTGTTACCTTCACTTTTTCTCTTCTCAGGCAGCAGAAAAGACAATTTTCATCAAAAGACCAATCAGAAACACCTTCAGGCTCACAGTCTGTAAATCAGAGGAATAGCAGATTACTTCATATTCATAAACCACGACATAACTGGAGCCAAAAGAGAAATGCCAAATTAAATACCTGTTTCACAACACTCTTGCCTGCATTCTGAAGATGCAAGCTGCATTTCAGCCATATTTGTAAATCCCCAGATTTCCAAACTGCATACATTTGATCTATGCACAACAAATCTGTTTTTTCTGAGCACTGCCAAATACACTCCCAGCTACATAAAGATGAACGCACACTCATTAGTAATTTTAGCCAATATGAAACTTACTGAGAGCACTGCCTGGGGGAAGGGGGGGGAGCACAAATCACCACGGTAACACACATTTTCTAGAGGCAGAGCTGGGGCTGCTTCTGTCATTAGAAATGCAGAACAAGGCACAAACATAGAGATTGAATACCTTTAAACAAACTGAGATCTTTTAATAATCCAGGTCCAAACAGGCCTTCTAGAATACTTTCAAACCCTAAAAGCAAATAAAAGAATTGTTAGCTTTCTAGATCAAAGTACGTCACTACAAGAATATTCACAATAACAGTTCTATATTTATCTGTTCCAAGAACACAGCTCAACATGTTTTCTCTTAGTATTACAAGATGTATGGGTCAATTGTGATGACTGAACTACTGACAAACCATAGCAGAATCTAGAGTCCCCTGACTTCTGTACTTTTGTAGATAGCTAGGTAAAAATAAAGAATGTTACAACACTGAAATAAACCATTTTGAAAAGAAAGTAGGAAGTTATAGGTTCTACAATATGCATCTCGGTGCCAGGTGATTTCTGCTTGCTTAAGCCTCCAAATGGGGGGGGAGGGGGGGGGAAAAAAGCACGCTTTCCCAGTTAAAAAAAAATATAATAATAATACTAGAAAAACCTTCAATCTCTGGTTGGCACCCAGTCAATTTTCTGAATTTCAGCAAGTTTTAGAATCAATTTTTCCTGAAAAGTTACACATTTGAAAAGAGAAAATACTAAGGAAAGATTCAGCAATGCCATTCCCTTAAGGAACCAAATACCAATCACGATACTGCTCATGCCATAGAGCTGCATCTAAAATACAGTCCGATTTACTTCAATTCCACAATTTATGCCTCACTAAAATAAATCTAACCAATTTTAGTTTATTCCAAAAGAGGAAAAGCCTTTTTCAAAATTACTGCCATTATTTGGAAATGTTAAATCAATATTACACTAAATCCCTGCTGGGAGTAAAATCTACAGAGCCATTAACTAGCCAATACTGTGAGAAGACAGGTTAACAGAGTGAATATGAAAAGCGCAAAGACTAAAGGGACAGACAAATTCCACCTACTTATAAAAACATATTCCCTAATATGGCTATAAAACTCAAGATTTTCTCGCTCCCTCTGTGTATGTATTTTTCCCCACCCCACACTTTTGCTTTGTACATTTTCTAACAGTTTGTATATAGCTGGTAAGCCAAATTCTCCTACTTGCCTGGATCTTTGAGAGGCAGAAGAAGGAATAACAGGATTTTTTTTTTTTTTAAGATATGAAAATACAGCTTTAGACTTGGAGAAACTTGTATGGGTGAACCAGGGCCATACAAACTACCTGAAATAGCCTTTTTAAGAAAACAGTCCAAAACTAAAGTAATCATATGCTGTAAGGGAAATCAATTATTACATTGCAAAACAGCAGTAATTCTAAAATAACTCTGACTGTATACAAATCTAATATCACAGTTATCTTTTAGACAGCAGTCTCATCTTCAAAAGGAAAGGACAAGTAGCATTATCCCCTACAGGGTGTCAGCCAGAGTTCCAGTGCCCTAACATCATTAGGTAACAGATGCTGGGCCCTACTGAATTTTTGGCCTGTAACACTATTTAGACAGCCTTTTGGCTGTGCCAGGGCATAACACAGTCCTTGATATAACGTCTAGCAAAGGCCAATGCTAAAAATCTAACTGTAAAAAGCAGTGAATGGGAAACAAAAACAGGCAGGAGTTATGGTGGAATAACAAATCAAGAGCAAAAAGAAATAGGGGAGAAATCAGAGAACAAGCTGGGAAAGGAGAAACTGGAAATAACATCCTATTGAACAGCACCTTGTCAGGCAGAGAAGTAGCACTGCCTCCAAAAAAAGCCAATTCAGGCTTCAGGAAGTGGCAGGAGCAGTGGGAAAGGGCCGACCAACCTGACCTAGAAGAAAAATAGGAGAATCAGGGTATTGACCCATAGGTTTATAACGCTGACACTTTCACGGGTGGTGACCCCTCACAATTCATAACTGAAATGAAACAAAGTAAAACAGCTAACCAACCTCCTTCTCTTTTTGTTATAAGCCAGAAGAGCTCAGAAATTTTACTCAAACTCACCACGCTTAAAATAGTAACTGCCAATGACTCATGCCCCACGGTTTGCCATGCATGCAATCGCACACCGAAATCCCTGCCAAGTTTTACAGCTTGGATATTGTACAATCATAGTTTGCTAGCCCACTGTTCTCAGTGATGCTAATGCCACTCAGTTTTTATTAATATTAAATATTGGATTTAGCAGTTGCATAGCAACAGCAGAACATCTTATGTGCAATGCTTGACATTAAAAAAGGCAAATAAGGGAAGTATGAATGTATTCAAAAATTATACTAGAGACTGGCAAAGCTGCCATGAAGCCCTGTTCCCCCCAAAATGCAAAGTGCAATGCAATAAGGTCAGTATAAGCCCTGCCATGTAATATTCAGTCATTCAGGACTCCAAAAGAGCAACCGTGTACAGTTAATCATGCATAATATACTGAAAACAAAGTCTTGTAAAAGGAACTGCCTACTTTTTATATTTTTCTTCTCTCCATTGTTACTGCTCTTAGAAGCTTGAAAAGAACATTTCTTTTCCTACCAATTGTCCTTTTCCATCTGGCAGATGATATTTTCCACTGTTTTAAATGGAACAGAAACTGACATGGCTGCCTCTGCTAAATTCCTCACTTTTATACCTTCATCATCTATATTTCAGTGTTTGACACTTTGCAGCATGTGAAGAGCAGCGCCAGTGGACAAGCTGGAGGAATAATACAATTAAAAAAAAGAAGAAAAGGGATGAAGATACCAGTATTTTAGTGGTTTCTCTTTTAGAGATGTTCCTGGCAATTACAGTGGCCATGCTTTTAAAAACCTTTATAGTGCTACTGGTGTTCTGCACCTAAATAGTTTGTTCTGCTTTTGTTTCTGGCATTTCCATCCTCCCTTCTACAATCAAATATTTTAAATCATAACAACAAACTTGAGTTAAATTTTAAACCTAACTGTGTTCAAGAGAACAACAGTTCAACATCTCAAGCTTTGCAAAAGATCAAGTTAGATCCTCACATCGTTCTTTGCTTTAAAACTAAGGGCACTTGTAACGATTAAGCAGTCAGTAGGCTTCTTGAGATAACTGCAGCAAAGAAGTTGTCCCATGACTAGTGGAACAACGCCCGACTTCCTACTGATTTTATTTCGGTCCGTTGTCTCCACTCCTACAGAAAAGCCAGCCCAAGTCACTCAGGTCATTTACGACTTCATCCCATATACATAGTATATCCAGTTCCACATCACATTGTACCTTTGTCTCCTCTAATGACCAATATGGAAAGATGAACTGGTATCATGGCTCATTCCAAGTTATGACTTGTGTATACAGGGGCAGGGGGTGTGCATGCATGCACATAACACATGCGAGAGTGTGCGCACTGACTGCTCAGCCAGCAAAAAAAGTAAAAATGGGTAAATTAAGCTCAGACTGAAGATTTTCCTCAGTGGGAGTGTTAAATTTGGGTTGCAATTCAATACTTACCCATTACAGCTGATGAAACTTGCGGAAAGTTTTAAGGTATTAAATTCCTACTGCTTTGTCAAGTTTAGGTGAAACCGACCAGCAAATTCAGAAGTCAGTAGTGGGGAGATGGACAGAGAAGCAGAAGGGATCAAACATGATCTGGTTCCTTGGCCAGGGGGGGAAAGACATAAAGCTAGGATTACTAGCAACCGTTGAAGTTATTACTGCCTGAAAGAGGGAATCAGCTCCAAAGTTCATATTTAGCCAGGACTGTTACCACTCCAAGGGAGGACAAAGATCTAATGGAGTTCCCAAATCCCCAGCCTCATACCATCAGAAGCTACGAAGCGTCAGCCGAGCTCTAAGGAGACTTCTGCAGGCACTGCAGGAGGTTCACTTGCAGATGAGTACAGGAGGATTGCACTGAAAAGACAGCTCCAGGCAAACCCTCACTTCTCTTAAGGTTCTCTTTTGGGAAGAGACTTTGTCAAAGAAAAACGAGGACAAAGTCCTAATCAGAGATGAATGATGCTCTGTGAAAGGCTATCGAAGTAGAGCTTCCTCCATTCAGGCACAGATTTAAGAACTGAAACCTACTGAAGAAAACAGACATAGGATTCCACCAACAGAGCACTGGCAGCGTAAGCCAGCCAATCCTTTATTAAAAGCACAAAAAAGGGACATTGCGGCAAATTACTACTCATGTTAAAGCTACATCAAAGATTACAGAACTGCAGTTCTGTATGTTTACTCCTTCTTTGCCACCACACACAAAGAAAAAGTTGATGTCTTACAGCCTTTGCCTTGAAACTCCTATGCTGCAAGAGGGTGTTCCCACAAGCCCAAACACTACATCACCTGAATACCCTGCAGGTTTTGAAGTCCGTTCTGTTGTCCTATTTCCACTTGTGGAGTCTACTTACTAATTTATTTCTCTGACAAGTTAGTACAACAAAAGCCTAGAGAATTACAGCTGTTTTGTCTTAAGATGAGAACTAGAAAGAAAAAGTCTCACAGTTTTGTGAGGCACTACTTGCATTTAGACAACCAAGAAAGGACTCTTTCTGGCTGGCTGATCTCTAACAATATGGATACACCAAATGCAAGTTCTTCAGAAGGAAACGAGGATCCATGTATCTAGTCAAAAGTAG